TCGAGTGAGGAGAAGAAGCGGAGTTAGAGTACCGGAGCTCGCAGTTGTCGTACCACACCGTGGCTTGCTTGCCTCCGGGGCAGGGACGAGGGGGGGGGGGGGGGGGGGGGGGGGGGGGGGGGGGGCGGGGGGGCGGGGGGGGGGGGGGGGGGCGGGGGGGGGGGGGGGGGGCGGGGGGGGGGTGGACGTCAAGACACGGCGTTCTGAACGCCAGAACGCGGTCAGTCGGATGGCGACCGTCACTTCACCTCGGCAGAGGAAGAGGCCGTAGCGGGTGTGGGGCCGAGCCGGTGGTGTTGGCGGTGAAGGTGGAGTGGGTGGAGGTGAGGATGTGGAGGAGTTGATTGAGGTTTGATTTGTATTTGCTATTGGAAGTGTAGTTACCGACCCCGCAGCTGTGGAAGAGGGGGTCGCCGGAGCTGAAGCGAGAGCGCAGGAGGAGGAGGAGGAGGAGGAAAAGATAGAAGAGATTGGTCATGTTTTAGTTTGGTGTTGTTTTGCTTAATAAGTGACGAATAGCTAAGTTCCAAACTTCCTAGTATATAGTACAGGGGTTTTGGGTTGTATCTGCAAAAACTACCTAAATCATCGATTTTTAAATGAAAAAAAAAATTTCCAAAAGTAACAACTTATCAACTTCGTTGCTTATGATGTGTGAAATTTTAGTTTAATTTTTTCCAAACAGCTGGCTAACTGCTATGATACTATTCGCTCTAGCCCTTGAGCCCATTGGTGGGATGTAAGTCGTAAGACCGTCCGAGGGCAACTCATAATGTAGCTTGATCCATTGTCAAAAGTACTAGTATCAGTTGCACTTAACTCTTTGGACTTACATTATATCCAGTCAATCTCTAAATTAGGTGTGGGAGTGGGACTATGTTTTCGGAGTATTAGTGATTTGTCGTTTTAGGTATATTTTTGCTAAAATTGATGATTTGTTGGTAATTTTATAAATACTTAGATTTTAATTCTGTAGATACACTTTATATGTGTGTATAGAGAGAGAGAGAGAAATATGATTCTAAGGAGCCACCTTAGACTGAATCTAAGGATGCACCTCTAAATGTATGGATTCAGATATTTCAATGGACGATTCGCTCTATTTATCATGATCAAAATGTCTTAAAACATCTACAAAATAAAAATCATGATATTTGAATATTTTAATATATTATTTTCATTGCCTCTTTGGTTGTATTGTCATAAAAATGTTAATTAGACTATCACTTGATGCACAAGTAAATGCAATCTAATATGCCTAATTTTTTGTTTATATATCATCCAAATCATGCATATAGATCAAATTGAATAGAGAAGATCAAGTAAATTGATTTCATATAATCTAATTTTGAAGGTGCATGTTTTGTATTTTTTTTAGAAATTAAAGGGGTTGTTTGTACTTTTTGAATTTTAAAGTGGTTGTTTGTAATTTATGAATTTTTGGGGTTTATCAATAATTTTAAAATTTTAAAAGACTTTTTGCAGTTTTAGATTTTTTAGAGGTTCTTTGCTAGCTAGTTTAAAATTTTTAGGGGACTCCATTTTATTTTTTTTTATTTTTAATGGTTTGTTTTCAATATGCCTATTTATTATTATTAGGAATTTAATATATATGGAAATATGATTCTAATGAGCCTTGGGAAAAAACTTTCCATGGATAAAAACATGCTTAACCCTTTTTAGTGTTATATTATTATCATATCATATCCTAATTACTTTTAATTAATAGAAATAAGCTTCAATTATACTATACCATCCTAATTAATATGTATATAAGCTTAGATTTGATTTACGTAAATTAAAAATAAAAGATATCATACTTTACAAAATTTATATTTATCAGAGAAAAAATATAAAGGTTTTAAAATTTGAAAATCTAAATATTTAAATTTGGTAAATGTTGACAATCTAAATATTTGAATTTGGTACCTAATGAGTCAGAAAAATGGAACCCTTTATCTTATCATTTCTCTCTTTATATTTAAATTTTAAAAATAAGACTTTAAAACTTTTGACAATCTAAATATTAGAATTTGGAACCTAATAAGTAAAAAAGTAGCTAGAACTTTTTATCTTATCATTCGTTTCCTTTTATTTAAATTTAAAAATAATACATAATATTATATAATATTCTCATATCCTAAATTATAAATGTCTATGTGAGTGATCAAGCTAGAAAATATCCAAAATCTAAAGAATTTGCACAACTCGTAGAAATATCTAAAAGACATAATTTAAAGATTTTATTATAAATAAAAAATGCAACCTACGAAACTAGTGGAAATGGCCAAAAAGAGTTTTAGAAGTTATATATTTAGTACCAAAGCGCAAAAGACTTCATAGTATTGAAATTTTTGCAGAAAAATCCTTGGTTTTACAAAGCTTGCACAAAAATTCAAAAGAATTCTTTACATTTCAAATTATTCTAATTAAAGAAATGTCTTTTACAGCATTTCATTGTAATCATGTTCTAAGTAATTGAATTATTTTTAATAAGATAAAAGCTATACATAATTTTTCAAGCTCCGCATTCTACCCAATTTCTCAAGAAACTAAAAAAATATAAAATTGTAGAACTTAAAAGGTTTATTTACTAATTATTCTCTCATACAGTTTTAATTTGTCAACGGTGCGAGTTCAATTACTTTGAAGAAACGGTGTCGGAGTTGGAATTTGGTAACTTTGTGTCCGTAGAGAAAATTCAAAATCAAATGGATGAGAAATCAAATGCCAGATTAATTCCAAGTCATGGTCTATTCTATGAAGAGAAAAACACTTGGTGGAGGGAACTCGGTGGAGGAAAAAGTGATGTGGAAAGATATTTTGGGTGGAGAGAAAAACACTTGGTGGAGGGAAGTTTTTGCTCTATTCTATGAAGTCCACGCATCATAAGGCAGCCATTAGACAAAGATCCTTGAAAGTTATGCTTAAACTTTTTTTGTTTTGCCAAACACAAAAAAATTAACTCTTCATGTTAACTATCTAATCTAAACGGAATTAAGTTATTTTTAACCTCTCATGACGGGCTAAGTTAATTCTTTTCTTTAACCATCCTCTCTTTTAACCCCTTGCACACACGACATCATATATATAATACCGGTAGAATGTAAGAAGGCTTTCAATTTGTCAATTACGCGAAAGAAATGGTGTCGGAATTGGAATTTGGTAACCTGGGGTCCTTAGAGAAAATTCAAAATCAAATGGATGAGAAATCAAATGCCAGATTAATTTCTGTCCTCAATTTGTTAGTCACACAGGCAAGAAAATGACGTCAAGGTCGCCATGTGTCACCTTCATGAGTTGTTGAAATGCTTTCATTGGTTATCCTCGAGTTGTCATGGTTGGCTAAAAAGTTAAGTCAACAATGGTTGGCCTCGTTGGAGTACGAAACTCGGCTAAAATACCATCTACTTCCCCACTCGCTTCCCTTAAATAGCACCCGCTGTATTTCGCTGCACAAAAAATACCGTACACTTGATTTTAAGTGCAATCCAGCCACGAAACTATAACCCACAACTTTTACCGCAACCTGAGTTTTACTACAGCAGAAGGTACTTGAGAGATGTTTTACTTTATGCTTAGATTACGCCTCCAGAAAGCTTTTTTTGGTAATACATGGCATTTTCAAAAGTTTCTGGTGTTATCTTAAAACGGCTCAAGCTGTTGGGACAACCTAACAAGTTTTAACTCTCTCGGAATTGACAAATGACTATTCCTAGGCCTGTGCATTTAGCCCGCCGGGCCGGGACCTGGGCCAGACCGGGTTGGTCACCTAAGGTGACCGTTGCGGGCAAAATCCGGGCCGGGCCGGGCCAACCCGGCCTGGCCCGGTCATAACGGCTATTTTAGCCGTTTTGACCGTTTTGCCCCTAAAACGATCAAAAAACGATCACAAATGATGGTATTTTGGTCATTTGTCTAGAGGGCTGCCTCTGTAAATAGAGGGGGGTTTCTTTTCCTCGCACCAAAACGCATCTACTTCTCTCTAATACTCTCTTCTACACTCTTATACTCTCTAATAATCACTTTAGCTCTCTAATTCTTCAATGAAATGGTTTCCGGGTCTGATTATGAAGAGCAAAACCTAACTTATGATCTTGAAATGAGCCCTCCTACTATAGCTATTCTTACTGATCCTAACGATATTAATCCCGGATCCGGTGGACAGTATATGGATCAGTTTCATATCCTATACTTTCCACCATAGTTCATGACTTACTTTCAGTGCAGGTTTCGACAGTAACTTCGGAATTCGCCTTCAACACAGCAGGACGTTTGATCGACGACCACAGGACATCGTTAGATCCGTATACTATACAGGCGGTGATCTGCTTACAAGATTTGTGGAGGTACGAGAAGAGAACGCAAGACATCGATCGGTTGGCTGGAATTGAAGATAAATTTGAAGAGTTTGGACTAGCAAATAGATATAAATATTAAACAATATTCATCAAATTATAATTTTTATTTCTTAGCTGAAAATTTGTAATGAATTATTTTAAAAACAGTTACAAATAATAGTGATATAGGTGCCAACCTAGTTAGGATGTACTCATCTATTGTGATGCGACGAATTCTAAAATAAATTTATATTTGTAAAGGATTTATTAATTATTAATAAAGAAGTTATTTTGATCATCTTTTATTTTTATAATTTTTTAAATTTGTAATTTATATAATTTCAAGTGATTAATAATATTATTATTTTTTATTAAAATTTTGTATAATTTTTTATGTATAATTAAAATTTTAAAGAGATTAAAAAAATTTTAAAAAAACAAACCGGCCCGCTCATGCCCGAGCTCGGACCCGGCCCGAGGTAACCGGGCCCGGGCTCCGATTTTACCCGGCCCGGAACTTGATCCTCATCCCAAGCACTACATGTCTATAAATTTAAAGAACTAGTAATAGTTCCCTTTATCGATACGTTGGATACCATAAAATCTTACAGCAAATGATGCAGAAGACTACAAGCATAATGATAAATGAGAAAAGAACCGTTTCATGTAGACTTTCAAACATTACGCTCGTGGATGACGCCAAAAAATTGCAGGAGTTGAGCCTCGATGTGAGAGGGTTCTCTCGTTTTCTCTTTTCGGACCAATAACAATTATTATTGACAAATAATTGCGTGAACTTATTGCATTCAAACCAATATAAGAACACAGATTTTACTACGTAAGATCCTCGTTGGTCTGGAAAAAGCTTAGCAGCAAATAAATGAGGCCTATTTTCTTGCAAAGAGGCCTCAAAAAGGGCTACTTGAATGCTCCTCATGGCAATTTCACCCTCCAAGTATACACCCTACAAGAATACCAGCAAAGCCGAAGTTTAGTTGTCCTTGTTGCTTGTTGCTTCAATGCTTGTTTACTGATCCCATCTTCTAAAAGATTTGTATTCCTTCGGGAGCATCTCGTCGATAATATGTACAGTGATGAAGAGAATCTATATGGTGGAAATATATTGATAGGTAGGACGGACATTATTTCTTCTGAAGGGGCCTGGTATTGTTCCATAGCCATTCTTGAGCAGAGCCTTCCAGCAATGGTGATACCTGCAAATCAAGTTGCAGAACAAAATGTTTCAGACGCTTGTGTGCATTTCAAAAAGATTTTATAATCATTTGGTGGAAGCTAAAAAAATAGAAAAATAAACATATATTACTTCTCACGTTTCTCTAAAGCTTTTTGAGAGGTGATTACAGTCTATAAAGGGAATATTACTTGATACAGAATCCATGATCAATAGTTGCTAGCTTACAAATACAACCAAATCAAGCAACAAATAGAAAATTGAAGGTGGAATTGGATCTTTAATCCCACTGACCTTTTCCCAGACTTCTAAATGATAATCATTCAACCAATTGGTTTCTGATGAAGATAACAAGGACAAGTCAACTAGTTTAGACTGCAAGCACAAAGAAAAAACAATCCAGTAAGATAAAGAAACAACATGAATTTGTATTTTCATACTAAAATCCAACGGATAAAAGGCAATATGAAGATCAACTAAGATGACAATGAAGTAATCACCAAAAATACTACAATTATCTGTCTTAATCAGAAGATTCAGCAGATTATACTAAAACCAGGACTACTTGCTTAAGTCTTCTATGAATTGTTTTAAGGAAAATCTGAAGAATATATTTTCATGTAGCATGAATAGTTATCAAGAAAGAGACAAGTAGTTGATAAATGAAAGGGGGTTTTCGATATTAGTCCCTTATACATCATTAGTAGTTTGATATTAGTCCCCACGACGGCATAAATATGTTGATACTAGTCCTTGTGGTTAGTTGGGGTTAAATATGTTAGGGAACATTCTGGCACATTTAACATTTTTATAGAACGGATAATTATACCCCCACTCCCAATACCCAAAACCACATCTACACCTAGGAAACCCCAACTAGAACCCTAACCCCAACCCCAACCCTAACCCTAACCCTAAACTAAGCCAAACCCTAACCCTAACCTAACTTAACCGTAACCCTACCCTAGCCCTAGCCCTAGCCCTAACCTACCTAACCCTAACCCTAACCCTAACCCTAAACTAAACCAAACCCTAACCCTCAACCCCAAACCCAAACACTAACCCTAAGCCAACCTTAACCTAACCCCAATCCTAACCCTAACCCTAAACCCATCTAACCTAACCAAAAAAATAACCCTAACCCTAACCAAAAAACCTAACCCTAACCCTAGCCCTAAACCTAACCCTAACCCTAACCCATACCCGTTTATTTAGAATTCAAATGTAATTCACATAACTTCTTCTCCAATGATACCCTCACCACCCTTATGAACCCCAACCCATTAATTTAAGGGTTTTTACACGAAAATCACCTTAACATTTATCCAAATTGCATTGTACCACCTTTATTTTATTTTACTTTTTATGTAAACCACCTTGGTTTACTTACATGTTCTCAATGTCACATTTTTCAATATTTTCTATTTTTAAAAAAGTAAAATTACTATAACAGCCTCAATCTAACCCAAGAGAAAAAAGGAGAGGAGACGAAGCAGAGAGGGGTAGGAAAGTTGGCGAGGTTGGTGGCAGGAGGAGAGGGACGAAGATCGGCAACAAGAGTGGAGAGAGATAGGGGACGGGGGAGGAGGAGGAGGAGAGGAAGGAGGTAAGGAAGATGAGAATGAAGGAGGAGGGGAGAGGGGAAGGTAGGTGGAGGGGAAGAGGAGGGAAGGTCTTAAGAGTTTGTAGAAACCAAGGTTTTAAATGTTGGATGTCGGGTTCATGTCGGACAACTAAAATTCATGTCGGATAGCGAAAATCGGGATATGTCAGGGGACATACTAAATATCGGATTGCTATATCGGATGGATTTCTATTCAATTTTGGTCACCAAGATGGAATGCACTTCTTTTGTTATAGCTTATCCTACTTAAGTTGAGCATTCATCATCAAGACACGAGTTGTTTTCCATTTCTTGAAGGGAAGCATTAGAATACTATTGCCAACAAATAAATAAAATACACATTGTCAAACTAGAACTTTCGAAGTGCCTTGCATAAAATTAACATGAAGTAAAGTGTCTTGCATAAATTTGACATAAAGTGTTAGACTTTGAATTGATTTCAAGCTACGGTTCAAACTTATTGTTTACATCACGCTTTTATAAATTCTCAATTTGTAGAGATGAAGACGAACGAGAGGAGATCACAGCAGGAAAGAGAGCAATATTTTTTCTTTGCCCTAATCTGTATTATATGCTATCAGGTTACTACGAGAACAAAAGGCGAAAAAAAGAATTAATCAAGTTAGGCTTTTCAATATTAAACTCAAACCTCAATACTTATCAACTCAAAAAAAAATAAAAATAAAATAAAAAAATCAGCTGATTTCTTATTTTTCAATGCTGAAAATCGGCCCGATGTGTCCGCAATATCCCCCGACATGTCCGACATGGGCCTCAAAAACGATATCCGACTTGAAATGGTCATATCTGTGTCGCTCCAGCCTTTGATCCGACAAGAAACCCTAGAAATGAAGGAGACGACGGAGGTGGAGGAGGACAGGGAGGGGAAGAGGAGAAGAAAGAGAGGAGGCGGAGGTGGAGGTGGAGGAGATGGAGGAAGAAGAGGAGATAGAGAGGTGAGGGAAAGGATGAGGTAGGGGAGGACGGGAGGGGGAGAGGGGAAGCAAGAGGAGGGGGAGAGAAGGGAAGAAAGAAGGTGCAGAGAGGAAAGTGTAAAGTGGGTATTTTTAAAAATTTTAGGGCTGAATAGTGGTAAAGGCATGGCATTGAGAACATGTAAGGAAATTGAAGTGGTTTATATCAAAAAAAAAATTAAATGTGGTAAATTACAATTTAGGCAAAAGTTAAGATGGTTCTTGTTGGTATTAGTATTGGGTTATCGGGTTTAGGCCCATTAACCTATTACCCATATGTGTTATGTACTCCTATATATATATATATATATATATATATATATAATATATATATATATAATATATATATATATATATATAGAATGACCTATGTAGATGAATAAAGTTGAGCAATTCTGATTTATCATCTCTAACATGGTTCAAAGCAAACCTCCAAACTCTAATCTTATTTTTTTTTAAATATCGCATCCCTCTCTACAGACTGTCTTCTTTCTTTTCATTTGCCCTCAAAAACCCTATTTCTACCCGAACCCTAGCCGCCGCCACTCTCTCCTCATCCTCGAAGCCCTCCGTCACTCGCCACCGACACCACCTTCTCCGTCACTCGCCGACAACAATATCAACCTCCGCCACCGACGCCGATTTCTCCATCATCTTCGTCGATCTGAGATCTGAATCGGGAGAGAGAGAGAGAGAGAGAAAATTCGACCTCCATCATCTTCTTTGCCGCTCTCTCTGCTCGTCGCAGCCGTCCTTGTCGCCCTTTGTGCTCACCGCCATCGTCGCCGCCCTCTGTGCTCGTCGCCACCGCTCTTAGCTTCCTCTAAGATCACCACTCCTTCCTCCAGATCAACGCCCAGTTCCCTTCCTCCTCCGCCTCCGAACAACGGCAGCAACTTCTAGCCCTCAAATCAAAGCTGGAGTCGATCTTTAAAGCGAAGCCCGCAGCCACCAAAACCTTTGATCCCTGCTGCCTTCAACCTCAATGGCTCATTCGTCTTCAATCGCCGTCGCCGCCTTCTACCTCAAATCTATCCGATCTCTGATCTGAACAGTGACAAAAAAGGGGGAAGACAAAGAAGAAGATTACGATTCTTCTACTTATGTGTTGATTTCAAATGATTCTACTTCTATGATTAAGATTCTTCTGCTTTGCTACTACTATCCTGATTTGTAACGATGTCTGACATCTCTTCTGTCGTTACTACTACTGTTGTTACTGAGATTTCTGCATCCAATGTTGTCTTGGGGACCACTGTGACGTTAAATGGCACCAACAATCTCCTTTGGGTACAGACCTTCCGCATCTTCATTGGCGCTCAGAACAAATTGGCTCATCTTCTGGCCTCACCCACTACTTCTACAGATCCTATGTATACTGCATAGATCTCTGTTGACTGTTGTGTGATGACTTGGCTTCTTAACAACATGGAAGCGCAGATCAGTAGCAGTGTCATGTTCTCGACCACTGCTAAGGAGATGTGGGATAATTTAAAACTCATGTATGACAATGAGAAGAATGCATCTCGTATGTTCGAGCTGTATGAACGACTTTTTTCCCTTTAACAGGACGATCGGTCAGTTCCTGAGTACTTTGAATAAAGTTGAGCAATTCTGATTTATCATCTCTAATAGTTCTCATTGTAAAAACCTTAATTTAAATAACATCCTAACCCATTTAAAATTTTTAAACTCAAAGTCAGTCAGATAGTTATCTTCCCCAATAACCACCCTTTTAGCTAACCCCATGAAAGTAATGGCTACTTTCTCCACCAAAAGCTACAAAAATACCCGCAATGCCTCCTCAAGATGTCATCTCCATCAAATTATTGTTATCCCTAAAAATGTTTAAGCTCTTGAATCATGCTCTAGGTTCAAATAACTTTTTTAATAAAGTTTCTAATTTTTAAGGCAAATAGGATTAATGGGGATGAGAGAGGGGGATGGGGTGACTTTGCAATTATACAACCATGGTTGGCATTTTAACAAAAAGAAGTAACAAAAGGACTTATTTCAACACACTTAAAGGATTTGAGGGAATAATATCAAAATATGAATATTTGGGGGACTAATATCAAAATACTAATGGCTTAAGGAACTAATATTGAGAAACCCCTAAATAAAAAGGTTTAGTGACTAAATTTATCCTAACAATGCCTAAAATCATATGAAACAAGGTTAAAAATCAATGGAAATGCACTATGTTACGGTATGGGTTAAAAATCCAATTGCACATTTGTTATACTGATCAAAGTAGCAAAGTAAAGAACATGCCACAATTAGTATTTAAATTTATCCAAGAAAGTGTTCCAGTGTATCTACTGTGAACATGTGAAATGCCACATCGCGAACAAAATCTATGGTATTTCAGTTACCAGGTATAGCTCACTGTCGAGAAGGTGATGATAACTTTTAAATATTTCATTGTCTTTGTTGATGACTTCTCTCGCATGATTTGGCTTTATCTGTTAAAAGAGAGGTCTGAGGTTTTAACTGTTATTGAAATGTTTTACAATGAAATAAAAAATTAATTTTCTACTTCTATTCGTATTCTTCGTATTGATAATGCTTTGGAATACATGAAAAATGATGTCTCTCGTTTTTGTGCAAATATTAGTATTCTTCATCAAACTTCATGCTCTCACACTTCACAACAAAATGGAGTTGCTGGGAGGAAGCATAGACATATTTTAGATGTTGCTAGAACTTTGATGTTACATATGAATATTCTAAAATATTTATGGTCTGATGTTATTCTTAGTGCATGTTTCTTGATCAATAGAATGCCCTCTTCTGTTCTTAATGATAAAAGACCGTTCACCTGCATTTATCCTGAGAAACAGATTTTTCTGTGGTTCCTCGTGTCTTTGGTTGTACTTATTTTGTTCAAGATTTATCTCCAGCACTAGATAAATTGTCTTCACGGTCTATTAAGTGTGTCTTTGTTGGTTATTCGCGTACTCAAAAATGTTATCGATGTTATAATTCATCCACCATGAGGTATTTTGTGTCCGTTGATGTTACCTTTTTTGAGTTTGTTCCATACTTCTCTTCGGCTGGTTCATCTCCAACTGTCGATCCCTGTGTTCCTCTACCATCTATTGCTCCTACTACTGTTTCATTGTCTGCTTCAGTTCCTTCTACTGACGTGTCTTCTCGAGGATTACAGGATGACTCTAATGTGCCACCTACACCACCGCCACTACTGACGTATTCTCGTCGTAGAAAAGGTAATGCCCCTCTCTGCTCCAGCCGATAGGTCATCTCCAGTTACCAGCCTGCCTCCTACTAATACTTCTATTGCTTCTGATCTGGATATTCATATTGCTCATCAAAAAGGTAAACGGTCTTGTACTAATCATCTTATATCTGATTTTGTTTCTTATAACCGTCTTACTCCATCTTCTCGTCAATTTGCTTTGTCCTTATCATCTATATCTATACACAGGTCATATGAGGAGGCCGTGTTAGTTCCTGCTTGAAAACAGGCCATAGATGAGGAGATGAATGCACTTGTTTTCAGAGGGACTTGGGATCTTATTTATTTTCCTACAGGTGCTACTGTGATTGGTTGTCGGTGGGTATATATCTTGAAGTATTACACAGATGGTTCTGTTGATCGCTATAAAGCTCGTCTTGTTGCTAAGGGTTATACTCAAACTTATGGGGTCGACTATCTTAAGACGTTCTCCCTCGTTGCCCGTCTCAATTCTATTCACCTCATTTTCTCTATGGCTGTTAATCTGGACTGGATCATGTTTTAGCTGGATGTTAAAAATATCTTTCTGTATAGCAACCTCCGGGGTATGTTGTTCAGTGGAAGAATACTGTTTGTAGGCTTAAAAAGGCGATTTATGGTCTCAAACAAAGTCCACGGGCATGGTTTGAGAAATTCAGTACTGCTATATCTGGTATCGGTTTTAAATGATGTCAGTCAGATCACTCAATCTTTATCCGACGCACTATATCTGATTTGGTGATTCTGACCGTATATATTGATGACGTCCTGCTGACTGGGAGTGACCTTATTGCCTTAGCAGAGACTAGAGAGTACCTTTCACGTCACTTTATGACCAAAGATATGAAAAAACCCAAATACTTTCTTGGGATTGAGATTGTGTATTAAAAAGACCGTTTCCTTCCATCTTAAAGGAAATATGTATTGGATCTGTTAGGAAAAATGGGTCTTTTGGGGTGTAAGCCAGTAAACACTCTAATGGAGGTGAATGTGGATTTGTGGCGTGATAATAGTCCTCTCTTAGATGATGCAGGTCGATAAAAAAGATTGATTAGCAAGTTGATCTACCTTACTGTGACCAGGCCTGATATTACCTTTGCAGTGGGAGTACTGAGTAGGTTTATACATAAACCAAGAGAGGTTCACTGGACAGCTGCTTTGAGGATTTTAGCGTATGTTAAAAGCTATCCTGAAAAAGGATTACTGTATAAGAAACATGGATATTTACACATCTCTGTTTTTTTCTGATGCTGGGTATGCGGGAGACATAGGAGATAGAAAGTCTATTTCTGGATTTTATACCTTTATTGGAGGAAATCTGGTAACTTAGAGTAAGAAAAAATATGTGGTATCTCGATCTAGTGCAGAGGCAGAATACAGAGTTATGGCTCACACTGTCTGTGACATGATGTTGTTGCAAAAATTGTTGACAGAGCTTGGTTTTACTCAACTTGAATCTATGTCTATGTATTGTGATAACCAGTCAACTATTTATATTGCAAAGAATCCAGTGTTTCATGAGAGAACTAAACACATTGAGGTTGATTGTAATTTTGTCTAAGATGTTTGGGGAAAAAAGTGATCTCTCTTCAGTTCACTCTGTCTTCAGAACAGTTAGCTGACATTCTCACTAAAGCTACATCACCTAAGGTGTTTTCCATTTTGTGTAACAAGTTGTGCATGATTGATATATATGCTCCAACTTGAGAGGGGGTGTTGGTATTAGTATTGGGTTATCGGGTTTAGGCCCATTAACCTATTACTCATATGTGTTATGTACTCAATATATATATATATATATATATATATATATATATATACACACACACACACACACCTATGTACATGAATAAAGTTGAGCAATTCTGATTTATCATCTCTAATAGTTCTCATGTAAAAACCTTAATTTAAATAACATCCTAACCCATTTAAAAATTTTAAACCCAAAGTCAGTCAGATAGTTATCTTCCCCAATAACCATCCTTTTAGCTAACCCCATGAAAGTAATGGCTACTTTCTCCACCAAAAGCTACAAAAAAAACCCGCAATGCCTCCTCAAGATGTCATCTCCATCAAATTATTGTTATCCCTAAAAATGTTTAAGCTCTTGAATCATGCTCTAGGTTCAAATAACTTTGTTAATAAAGTTTCTAATTTTTAAGGCAAATAGGATTAATGGGGATGAGAGAGGGGGATGGGGTGACTTTGCAATTATACAACCATGGTTGGCATTTTAACAAAAAGAAGTAACAAAAGGACTTATTTCAACACACTTAAAGGATTTGAGGGAATAATATCAAAATATGAATATTTGGGGGACTAATATCAAAATACTAATGGCTTAAGGAACTAATATTGAGAAACCCCTAAATAAAAAGGTTTAGTGACTAAATTTATCCTAACAATGCCTAAAATCATATGAAACAAGGTTAAAAATCAATGGAAATGCACTATGTTACGGTATGGGTTAAAAATCCAATTGCACATTTGTTATACTGATCAAAGTAGCAAAGTAAAGAACATGCCACAATTAGTATTTAAATTTATCCAAGAAAGTGTTCCAGTGTATCTACTGTGAACATGTGAAATGCCACATCGCGAACAAAATCTATGGTATTTCAGTTACCAGGTATAGCTCACTGTCGAGAAGGTGATGATAATTAAGTAAAAAATGTCATACATACCTGAATTGGAACAAATGTAAGCTTTTCAAAACCCAGATATCCGATGCCTCCAAATGCATTTGGTAAATTCTTCTCAACAACATAAAGAAGATTCTGCAGAAGGTTTTATGAAGAAAATGAAAAACTCAAGTGTAGAAAACCGCATCAAATGTTCTTACAGAAATTATCTTAGCAAACTGACTTATTAAAACTAAAGATACAGCTCATGATACAATGTGAAATAATTACCTACAGAAAAAACCTAATGACAACAATACATTTATGAAACAAGTCTTATTCGTCTCCGCTACAACATTAACTTATATAATATGAAGGAAAGGGACATTTCAACCTGTAAGAATCATGAATTCAATTCTACATTGAAATAAATCAAAGGACTGTCATAATAGAGGTTAACAGGAAAAAAAAACTTTTATTCTTTCCTGCCTGAGTGCTTAAAATACTACAATAAATATCTAAAGTAGATAAGAATAGATGAAGAAAATATGGTTTTGGCAAGAAAGATTATAAAATTATGGGACAGACCAAAATATATGATGCATCTGCATTGCAAGCATCATCATATGTAATACTGGCTACTGAGAATTGACTTTTATAACTCAAACAATGGTAGTAGCCTGCTTCAATTCACTTCATTCTTTTTGGTGACCTCAGATATTTGAATGATTTTACAGCCTGTTTTGAATTTGTCAGTTCCGCTAACACTATGAACAACATGAACTTGCAGTCCACTACTTCCTTGAAGCATTCAGACAACCATATCAACAACATGATACAGTGTTGCAGAAAAAATTTCCTCCAAGAAATAGAACAGTTTTCACAACATGACATGGCAATTAAATAAGTATCTGCCTGGCACCTTTTAGCATGACTAGAAACAGGGGTAAGAAACATGATACATTAAACAAATATACATCTGTTTATGTACCTTCGAGCATGATGCTGAGAAGTTTCGGCAAAGACAATATGTAATTAATAATCAATCTGTGTATACCTTTTAGCATGATCAAGGATAGTCTCTGCAACTAAATATACAAAGCAAATTCACCAGAAACTGAAGCAAGTGTTTTCATATATTAGCAATTTATGTAGACGAAAATTCAGATGCTTTAAATTCCTAGCATTAAAATGCAAATCCCCAATCAAAGTTTTTAGGTGTAAGAAACATAGTTAGCATGAAAGTATTAATTGACTTCAAGATTTAAAATTAAGGAGGGTACCTCTATTCTAATCCCAAAAGAATGATCTTCATAATAACCAGGTTCGTTGCTAACAATCATACCCTCCCGCAATGGAGTCATATTTCCAAATCGGAAGCTTATACTCTGTGGACCTTCATGCACATTTAATGCAGCACCTACACCATGACCAGTCCCTGAAACAAGTAGAGTCAATATATAATTTTAACAGCCTTTAAGCAGGCAATTCATGTCTGCACTGACTGAACATCAATTTTTATAGTAAAGAAAATCACCATGGCGATAATCAAGCCCAATTTTCCAGAGAGAAGACCGTGCTAACACATCAAGAACAAAACCAGGAGTATTTTCAGGGAATATTGCCTGATCAAGAGCTATATGTCCCTATACAACAATGCAGTATCTTAAGTAACATGTCTAATAAAGGAGATTGGGAAAGTAAACAAAAACAACGCCTAAGAGCCCTATAAAGAAAACACTACTTACCGTCTTCGATATAAAGTTCAAATATGGCTGTCTAACTTCAAATATCAAAGTGTGATGTTAAAAAATATATATGGAGCACCTGTAAGACTCGCGTGAAACACTCTTTTTGTCTTGAAGATGGTTCGCCAAAATGTACTGTCCTTGTAATGTCAGTAGTACCATCAACATACTGGGCACCACTATCTAGGAGGAAAAGGTTCTTGTCATCAACAATACTGCAGTTTTCCGGTAAGGGCCTGTAATGTATGATTGCACCATTTGGTCCGTATCCTAGATATCAGTCAATAACTTATTACTAATCCAAAAAAGAACCCAGGAAATATAAATTATCTGTGAAATCTTCAACACAAAATCAATAACATTATTCCTTCAACTGAAATAGTAGTAAAAGTAACAATTCATGCTCATGGTAGAGTATCAGAGTGTTCTATGTATCTAAAGAATGAACACGGATAATAGCGCCCCACCCCCCCACCCCCCACCCATAAGAAAGTAATAAATATGTGAATTGACACAGAAAGTTTTCCAGAAAGATCAAACAAAAACAAAAATTCAGATTTACAAAAGAAAAAAAAAAGAAATTCAATGACAAAGAAACTTAAAAATGACACTTTTATACTAATAAAGACTACAATTAACTCCAGAGCCCAGAGGTTAGTTATGGTGAATACACCAGGGCAAAGATCTTCATAGAATTCCCAATACAGCAACATAGGCGAACCAATGTATAAAGAAACCAAATAAAAGCATGATAAAATACCGCTGATGGTCTCAAAGCTTGTGTCGATAAAACCAGCTTGCTTTTTACGAAAATCAAGTAGTTTCTGAGAAACTTCTACTTCAGTTAGATCCACATTCTTAAGAATTTCTTCTTCCAGCCAAGACCAAAATTCTGCTAAAGCAACGGCATCTCTGCAAGGAACATATTTTTATCACTTCGGGAACAAGCATGTCCAACATACAAATATATTTGTCTTCTAACAACATCATAAGCAATATTATTCTTATGATGTACTTTACATCCAGAGGATGACAGAACAGAACAAAAAATTTAGTTAATTGAACATCTAATTGTAGAATCTAATAGATGCTGTCACATGACAGGAAACTACTAATTCTCTCGCAGTTTTAGACTTCAATCTATTTTTAGTAATGAAGTAACTGATTCAAATCTTCTGCAAGACTAACTGGAACAAGGAAAACAATTCATCTGTTGTGACAGCAGGTGTATTGCCTTCAAGCAAAGAACTGATAATTTGGCATGTGTGCATGTGTGCACATGTGTACGCGTCTGTGTCTCTATCTGTATGTGTGTGTGTACGTAGACATATGTGTGTATGAATATGTGTCTGTGTTGTTTGCAAAGTACATACAGAATCAGTAACAATATCCAGGTTCAATTATGTTACCTCAAATGTGAACTGCGCATACCCTCAAGCTCTGCCTCGTTTTTCACTGATTTGGCATGGGTGACAGGAGAAACCTTGTAATAGACACTAGGCCCTTCACTTTTGGCATCATGACTTTTGACTAGGGGATTATCCTTAGATGTCTTCACATTTCTGTTCTTCCCATTGGTTCCAAATTTTTTAATATTCTTATCACAAGCAGACATAAATTTGCTAACAATTGCAGCATTCACACTTGAAGAGTCCAACCATAGTTTTGCCTTTTGCTCTGCCATTCTGGAGAAAATTACAATAATTCAGTCCAAGGAACAAAAAGACTTTAAAAATATGTTTTTCTAAAGTTCTAGATATGTGTCATTAATTTCAAGTTCAGAATGCATGGATGCTGGCCAAGAACTTTTCCCAGTATATTAATTAAAAATTTTAAAACAGCAACAGGCAAGCAGATGAGATGGATGTCACTCATCTCTTTTTCTAGCGCAAAACATCTATAAATCTTCCAAACTTTGTGTCAAAAAATAAATCAAGGAAATGGGAAGTTGTAGTTCCCAAACAACAAGCTCAAAGAAACTGAGGTAGAGAGTGCAAGGATAAGCAGATTAGTACACTTGAAAAGTTAAAATGACAGGAGAAAGTTCCTGAAACCAAGTTTCAGTCTCAGCAATGGCACCAATATTAGGTGTCATAAAGAATCTATAATTTGATAAACAATATTCACAAAAAAAAACTTAAAACTCAAAAATAAAATTTACCTCTCTATTTCAGACAAGATGGTATCATATGGCCTCACTTCTACTCCAGCATTTGCAAGATGGACGATTACTTCATCAGTGACTTTGGAATTATCAACAAATAATCGAGCACTGTTATTCTCCACAATTAGGTATGCATATACCACAGGCGAATGCGGAATATCATCTCCTCTCTGCATGAAGAGAAGGAAGTATGCACAAAACTATCAGTGAAAGCATCACAAAGCTAGAAATGAAAAAGAAAAGGATCTCAGCTGTTGGGCATCATACACAATAATGGCCATCTGTGAATGACTTAAATACAGCATAAACTAGTATATTGAGATTGTATACATTTCCAGCTGTTAGAAGGGCAGCTAGAAAAAACTAACTATCTAAATGTCATAAAAACTTACCAAGTTCAACAACCAAGCAACTTCATCAAGCATGGTTACAACAATTGCAGTACATCCAGCTTCAGCAAGTCCAGCTCTCAATGAAGACAGCTTCGATGAGGCATCCACACCAGCATATTTAATATCATGCACTCTGATTGGTCTAACCGGAGGCTTGGGCCGCGATTCTCCCCACACCTTATCCACAAGATTGAAATCATACACGAAAACCAACTCATGGTTTTTCTTTGAAATCTCCTCTTTCAGCTCCTCTGCAGCATCAGAAGAAAACAGAAACTGCTCCAACATTAAAATTAATGGTAAGTTTCTCAAATATAGTTTGGCACAAAACTAATGGTAAGTTTCTCAAATATAGTTTGGTCCAAAACTACCACTTATTGAAGAAAAGTATCACAAATTTTCAAATCAATACAAAAGTACTGCATACTGATATTTTGTTATAATACTTAAAAGTTTCAGTAATCTGAGAATAATGTAAAGTTCATATAATTTGGCGATTTAGTGACATCATCTCAAAAATCATGGTAGATTTATAAACATAAATAAAGTTCATAGCATTTATTTTATGGATTGTTTTTTGACAGAATATAGCCTTTCTCTACTAATTTGAAATACATGGCATTTTATATGACAAAATAAGGTATGGTACTTTTGTGCAAATTGCAGTTCATGATAGTTTTATAAAAAGGGATACTAGATATGAGTAGTCTAGTTTAGCAAAATGAGCTACTAAAAAAAGGAGTGAGAGTGTATGATATTTCTATTTTGATCTTTTAAGTTATGGTATTTTTCTACAAAAAATAGTTAATAGTATTTTTCTGAAACTAACCCTTTAACTAAACCAACATCAAAAAGATCAAATATTTCTCAATCAAAAAAATCACAGGATCAATCCGGATCCTCTACTCGTCATTCAAAACCTCATTAAGCCACTCTGCCATTGTCAGAACCCCCACATTCCCACTCTGCTTCAAAACCCAATCTTTCCCCACCTCCTTCTAGTCCTGAAGAAAATACCTCCCATTAGTCCAAAGTATCGCTTTTTTTCCTTCGTAACAACAGCAATGCCAGCACTCCTAGTGAATCCCGAGATATAAGCTTGGGGCTGAAGGCAGTCGCCGATGAACTCGCTTTAATGAGGGTCCTCAGAGGCGTTAATGTAGGCATCAAGGGAGAGAAATGGGGAGGGAAAATAGGTCGCACAGGGGTCTGAGCTTGGGGTCGAGGGTTAGGGTTGATATTAGTGCGGTTTTTCTATTCATAGATAGTTTTCTGACAATATATGATATTGTTCTCCTGAATTTTAAGTTTATAGTATTTTTCTATAATAAAAAGGGCAAGTAACAGCTCTAGTTTTGTGAAATTTGCCCTAAATTTAAATAAGAAAAATCAAAGATCTAATATTTTTAAATAAAAAATTCACAGGATCAATACCAATTCTACATCTATCATCGAAAACATCATTAAGCCAATTTGCCATTCTCGGAAACCGCAAATTCTCACTCCGCATCAAAACCCAATCTTTCTCCTGCTCCTTCTCTGCCTGCAGAATCTACCTCCCATCAGTCCGAAGTGCAGCCTTCTCCTTCATATTAACAGCAGTCTCAGCAACCCCAATAAACCACGAGACTCTCAGTACTGAAAACAGGCAGCAACAAACTCGCTCTGGTGAGAGTTCTAAGAGGAGATAATGTAGGCGTCAAGGGAGAGAGGAGGGAGAAGAGGTCGCGTAGGGATTTGAACTTGGAGTCTAGGCCCAGGCTTGAGATAGAGAGGGTTTTTTAATTCATAGATAGTTTTCTGATGTTATATTCTGGTAATTTTCTGCCAATTTTAGGTTTATTGTATCATTCTGTAATGAAAAGTGCAAGTAACAAACAGTTCAAATTTTCTGAAATTTATCCTAAAATCAACTAACCAACATCAAAAAAAACCCAATCTTTCTAAATAAAAAAACTCACAGGATCAGTCCCAAACCTACATCCATCATCCAGCACCTAGTTAAGCCACTCCACCACCATCGCGACCCCCAAATTCCCACTCCTCATCAGAAACCACTCCTTCCCCAACTCCTCTGTATGAAGAAAATTCCTCCCATCAGTCCAAAACATAGCCTTCTCCAGGGCCAGCACTCCCAATAAATCCCAGTACAGATGCTCGTCGCCAGTCCGTGGGTGAGAGTCCTAGAAGGGATAATGCAGGCGTCGACGGAGAGAGGGGAGGGAGAAGAGGGAGCCTAGGAATTTGAGCTTGGGGTTGTGTTAGGGTTGAGATTGAGGGGGTTGTTTAATTCATGGATAGTTCTCTGACAATATATGTTTTGTTTGTTTGTTTGTTTGTTTTTTTTTTTTTTTTTTTTTTTTGTTTTTTTTTTTTTTTTTTTTTTTGCTTAAGTTTATTGTATTTCCTAGACCAAAAGGTGCAACTAACAGTTCTAGTTTAACGAAATTTACCCTAAATTCAAAATCCAACATCAAAAAGACCCAATCATTCTCAAAGGAAAAACTCATAGCCATAGGATCAATCCCAATCCTACACCCATCATCCAAGACCTCATTAAGCCTCTCCGCCATAGTCAGAACCCCAAATTCCCACTCTGCATCAACACCCATCCCTTCCCCAGCTCTTTCTCAGCCTGAAGAAAATACCTCCCATCAACCGATTCAACCCATAGCGCCGCCTTCTCCTTCATAACAACAGCAGTACGAGCACTCACAGTGAACCCCGAGATATAAGCTCAGCACTGGAAGGAGCCAACAATGAGCTCACTCTGGTGAGGGTCTTGAGAGGGGACAACATTGCGCCGAGAGTTAAAGAGGGGAGAGAAAAGAGGGAGCGTAGGGATTTGAGCATTGGGGTCTAGGGTTAGGGTTGAGATTGTGGGGGTTTTTAAATTCATGGATAGTTCCCTGACAACATATGAATTTTTTTTTTTTTTTGGTCAGCCAATTTTTAGTTTAAGGTATTTTCTGTAACAAAAGGTGCGAGTAACTGTTCTAATTTCGTGAAATTTACCCTAACACCCTGTTTGGATTGAGGGTAATGGGGGTGAGGGGAAGGGAGGGTAACTTTTCACCTTGTTTGTTTGTTTGGGAATTAAATATAGCAGTAATTAAGGGTGAGGAGTGAAACGGAAGGTGAGAAATATCACTAGGATCTTCTCCCACCCCCAAATTTGGGGTAATGGGGGTGAAAGGTAAAGAGGGAGAATACAACAAACTGTAGAGAGACATAATTTAACCGCAGCTAAGAATCTAAAATCCGAAACGGCTGATTTTTGACTCACTACACCAGCAGTAATTAAACTCTCCGTTTGCTCTCTGCTCCGCCATTGTCTCCTCCCGCATCTCTCTGGCCTCTCGCTTAAGCTCTGGCCTCCGTCATTTTTCTCCTCCGCGTCTGCTCTCGCTCTCTGCTAGCCTGCCGCTTTCTCTACGCTGCCGCCATGGCTCTCCGCTCGCTCTCCGCGTCGAGCCAGGTCGTCCTCAAAATATTTTGCAATGGTTAAGATTTCCTCTCCTCTGTTGATTCATTTACTGCAGATCTTGTAGATTACTCCAGTTTTAAGACTTCTGTTGGATTGTTGATTACGTTGAAATTAGTCAGATCTTGGCAAAAGAGTTTCTGAACGACTTAGATCTAGGGTTTGCTGGATCTTGATCTAGGGTTTTCCGAGAATAATTGGTAGGTGATCAAAATTTTATCTTTTCGGATGAGGTTGACAAGGTGAGATTTCGCTAGAATTATAGTTGCATTTGCATTGAGAAAAAAAATTATTGATTTAGATTTGTTACCTGCTTATTTATCCTGTTTATAAAATTTCGTAATTCATGCTTTAATTGTTTGAAATGGTATGTCATTTGGGTAACTGGTATTCATTATATCGTGTGTCAGTGTTCTACTTCCTCCCTGTATTGATTTCGACTTAGGCATATATAGGATTTTCTTTTTATTCCTTTTTATTTCTGTTAATTCATCTCAAAAATATTTTCACTTAAAAGTTTAGAGTTCGTAGGTTCTGAATCTGAAAGTTTGGATGCATATCGTGAGCATCACAGAGTTAATTCTTCTAATGAGGTTCAAGTAAAAAATATTACTTTAAATTCAATATGCAATATTTGACTTATCAGGACTGCTTTTAGGTAAGCTGTTGAAGCTCTGATCTATATACCCGTACCACAGGAACCAAACTTTGCCGAAAAAATTTAATGCTAATAGTTAGATGTGAAATGTCAACTCCGAGGCATTAACCAATTCTCTAATAATGTCAAGTATTTACAAGTTATCTATAATATTAGGCATTAACTTCTAATTTTAGGAAAAAAGTTGGCGATAGATTGATAAAATTTCCTTTTGTAATTTTTGAGTGATTGTTTTATGAAATTGTAAATTGGATGCATGACAGCTACTGGAAATTTTAAAATTCCACGTCTTAGACTGGTAAAATTTTAGACGTTGTTGAATAATATGGACACGAATTATAAACTAAAGAAAAGCCTAAAATTGTGTCTTTGTAATAAGCTACTAATCAAAATGAACTTGTTTTATAGGAAAATATTATCTGGTTGATGCTGGATTCATGTTACGAAGTGGATTACTTCCACCCTATAGAGGGGAACGCTATCATTTGAAAGAGTATTCTAGAAATCCACCAAAGAATCCACGCGAGTTATTTAATCTAAGACATGCATCACTTCGGAATGCCATTGAAAGATCATTTGGTATCTTGAAAAAAAGATTTCCCATTATAGCAAGTTCAAATGAACCAAACTACAGTGTTAAAACACAAAACAAGATCATTTTAGCTTGTTGTATTTTGCATAATTTTTTAAGGGGAGTCGATCCAGATGATGAATTTCAGGAAGGGGATGAGCAACATAATGAAAATCAATTTGAAGAAGATGATGTAGATGAGGACGAAGATGTTCGTAGAGGGGAGTGGAAAAGAGATGGCATCGCGGTTGCTATGTGGCAAGATTACCATCGATAATTTATTTTAGTTATGCTTATTGTTTGTTTGATTTGTACTCTCTATTTGGGTTATCTTCTTCATTTGTGTTGTACTTGATAAGTGTTAGACTAATATCATTTTAATTCGGTAGCATGAATGTTAGTTTATTTATTGTGATCTCATGTCATCTCTCATTGATAGTTTTCAATTATTGAATTGTGAATAATTAATTCCTTCTAACATTATTGTGTGAATTAAAGGATGTCGAAAAGAAGGAATGTGGAAGGTGATTCTTCTCGATGTAGGAATGCTAATGTTTTGATATGGACTCCTAATATGGAAGATAAGCTAATTGATGCTTACTTGAATCAACATGTTATGGGAAACCGAGTTGATGGGAATTTTACATCAACGGCTTATAATGAAATAGTAGTCGAACTTTTGCAAAGCTTTCCCGATAAGCCATTTGATAAGGAAAAAGTAAAGAATCGCATGAAATATATGAAGTCAAAATGGACAGTTTGTTATGATTTATTTAAGAATGTTGGAAGTGGTTTTGCTTGGAATCGAAGCACGGGTTTGTGGAGTACGGAACCTGAGGTTTGGGAAGACTAATCGAGGTAAAATTACACAATCTTTTTTATCACACATTGCTGAAACTTGATTTTAGTTTCAGCATTGTGCTGAAACTGAGATTCAGTTTCAGCATTGTGCTGAAACTGAAACCTGAAATCAGGTTTCAGCAGTGTGCTAAAACCTAATTTCATGTTTCAGTTTCAGCACACTGCTGAAACTGAAACATTTCAGGTTTCAGCAGTGTGCTGAAACTAATAATGAAGTTGGTTTCAGTTTATTGTTTTCTGAAACTTTTTCCCTCTTGGAAAGGTGAGCTAAAATTTGGTGCAAATCTGTTTCAGGCTCACCCAGAAGCTGCTGAATGGAGGACCAAGTCTATCCGAAACTATGATAAACTATTGGAGCTTTTTGCAGCTGATAGAGCAAATGGGGAACTTGCTGAAACTGCGGCTGAGATACGAGAAAGGAGGAGGGATTTTAGTGCAAGCAATGGCTTTGATTCTCATACAATTGAGGACATCGATGGTATGGTTTCTCGACATGAAATTTTGTTAGAGAATTTCGATAGGATTAATGATGAGGACCCAAATGACAACAATGATGAACATGTGATTACCCCTGAAACCAAATCAACTGCAAATTCACAAAAGAAAACTAGAAAATCGAAGGACGAAATTTCTATTGTTGATCAGGAGGTGATAAAGGGTATGCAGAGGATAGCTGAGGCAATTGAATCCACTGGTGATAAATACATACAAGCTCTTGAACGTGCTCCAATGAAAAGTAGTGATGTTTGGAATCATTTGCTTGAACTTGGTGTTGAGACTGCTCAAATTAAACAAGCATATCTTTTCCTAACTAAGCATCCAGAGGATCTAAAAGCTTTGCTTGGATGTCCATTGGAAGAGCGCAAGGAACTTCTTATGATGATGTTATCTTGAGAATCTATTGTTATTTATTTTTGTAAGTTGTATTGCCGAATTTGATTATCTGTGGCAATTACAAACTTGTTTGTTTTTGTGTTGCTTATGGCAAAACTTAGTATGCATGTGGTCATATTTTGCTAGAAACATGTGCTAATTGCAAAACTTTGATTTTATGAATTATGTTCCTTTTTTATGTAAGTTGTTTTTGCCTATTTAGTATGTATGTTGCTATGTGACTGTCCTTATTATTTTTCATTCCAAACTTAGTATGAATGTGGTCTATATTTGGTTTCTGTTCCACTTTCTTGTGCCTTTCTGGGGTATTATTTTGCAGCATGATGAAGCTATGCTTCTAGTCTAAAATGAGGCCACACATCAAAATCATAACTTCTAATGAAATCCATAGCTATTTTGCAGCATGATGAAGCTATTACTACTTTAATTATGGCCGTCTACTACTTAATGTACGCTTGTGATTTATCTTGTACAAAAATTAATAACTGAATGTAATTTTGAAAAAGAAAAGGTTATCTATTTGGAACGAATTAAAACAATCAAAGTATTATCATCTCTTCACGGTTCCACTATTAGAATCGGTTATAGTCAAAAATATTCTCATGGTTATCTAAACTTCAATATTCTATCTATAAGAATCAAATATACAATTGTTTGTATAAACCAATTATTACAGTTCTAGACAGACAATGACGATTAGAAAGAAAAGAGAAATAAGAATACCTTGAAGAATATCTGCAGATAAATAAAGTAATCAGATATTCTATTTTCATAGTGGGCTTATTGACGATTGCTCATAGGTTTTTTATAATTTTTACATGTGAGAAGTATTTATGTCATTTAATTACTTTCCTTCCCTTCCTTCTGTTATTACAACTTTCGCAACCGGTGGTGAAATAACTTCCTTGATTGCACCTTACTTAATTTCCAAACAGTTTATAGAAATTCCTTTCCCTTCCCTTAACTTCCCCTTGGTTCCCCTAACTTCCCTTCACCCCCTCCAAATCCAAACAAGCCCTAAGGGCTTGTTTGGATTGAGGGGAATGAGGGTGAAGAGAAGTTAGGGGAACCATTCACCTTCATTCACCTTGTTTGGGAACACTTAGGAGTTGAAGTTAATTCACCTCCATTCACCTTGGTTCACCCCCTAATAGTATAAAAATTGTTACCCCAAATTGGGGTGTAACCAAGGGGAAGGGAATTCCCTTCCCTTCCTTTCCCTTCCCTTCCTTTCCCTTCCCTTCACTCAGTTTCCCTTAACTTCCCTTTACCCCCTACGAATCCAAACAGGCCCTAAAATTACTCGAGTAAAATCAAAGATTAAATCTTTCTAAATCAAAAAACAACAAACTCACAGGATCAACCCCGACCCTACTCCCATCATCCAAAACCTCATTAAGCCACTCCGCCATCGTCGGAACCCCCAGATTCCCGCTCCGCATCAGAACCCACTCCTTCCCAAGCTCCTTCTCCGCCTGCAGGAAGTACCTCCCATCAGTCCAAAGCGCCGCCTTTTCCCTGGTGACGACGGCAGTCCCAGCACTCCCGGTGAAGCCCGAGATATACGCTCGGCGCTGGAAGCAGTCGGCGATGAACTCGCTCTGGTGGGGGTCCTGCGAGGGGACGATGTAGGCGTCGAGGGTTAGAGAGGGGAGGGAGAAGAGGTCGCGTAG